GCACAACCCTAATCGCGTGAAAACCGGTATAAATGTGTATGCATATGCGACGCCAGAAGGCGACGGGCTTGAATCCAGGCGACACACTTCCAGCATGATCAGGCGGCACGGAGACAGCCGACGGCCGACGTGTCTCGAGGAATCACAGGTGACGGGGGGCCGCCGCGCTGGTGGAAAACAGCCACGTCAAGTGAATTCGGCAGGGGCCCGCCCCTGTCTTGTCATGCAACTAGCAGAAATGTATCCCTACTCTCAAGTACTGATGCTCCACTTGATCCGACATGCAGTGATGTTGATGTCGAGGTTTGATTTATTTGAGCTGGTGCAATTACGGTACAGTATGTGCATGTCCAAAAAAAAAAAAAAAACCGACAGCATCATCAACGATGAAACACATCCACGGCAACCCGAGATGCTTGGCATGTACAATGGCCTTGTTTTTTTGCGTTTTGTTTTAAAACTGCAGTGCAAGACACCTACTGTCTAGACGACAAGTGCCCTCATATGAGGCAACTTTTCAGATTCTTTTTTCTCGACTTGTGCTCGCGCAAGAAGAAGGAAAAAGACACTCTCGCCACCCCAGTTGACTTCTCCGTTGCAAAGGGGTGGAGTTTGGTGAGATCTGCACGTCTTTTCCAGCCATTTTTAGAATGCCTAAACAAGAAGCTTTTTTGACCAATCCCAGAACGTTGTGTGTTGATGTCTTCGAAACCGAAACGCTTGTTTTTAAATTGTCAACCGAATATCGAAACTTCTTTAGATTCTCAGTCTTTCTTTGTACTGATGTCAGTACAAAGAAAAACTGAGTTGTCAACAACTGCTTTCCCAATGTTTTGCAAGACATACTGCCGAGGGCATGTACGTTAAAGAAATTGGCTTCCAAACTGACTTTACAAAGTTTCGATTTAATGTATACGTACATGTTTTTGAATAAAAAGCTGTCCTCATATGAGGCAAATCAGTTGTCGTCACTACTGTCTATCTGACCGGGACTTGTCCTCATATGAGGACGGCTCTTTTTTTGCAAAAATGTATAAATTAAATCGATTATTTAAAAGCTGTCTTAGACACTATTTCTTTAACGTGCTCAAATAGCGAATTCAAAGCTGCTATCCCAGTGTTCTGTTATTGCAGAACACTGGGATAGCAGCTTTGAACAGGCCGAAAGGTTAAGAATGTATTGCAGATTGAGTACCTGGTTTCCTTTTTTAACTAACGTTCTTGGTTTTGAAGTCATTTTACATGAGTTTAAAATTGGTTAAAAAACTTTTTTCCCAGACATATCTAAAAACGACCAGGAGGAACATGCAATTCTCACAAAGTTCTTTCTGATCCCATGGCAGAACTCAAGTACGGTGGCAGGGGTATCTTTTGATTCTTGTCGAGAAAGTGCAAGTCAATAAAAAAAATGTCGAAAACTGTTCTCATATGAGGACAAGGGTCCAATAGACACTAGTAGAAGAGTTTTTGGTGTATCCAGTGAACAGACGTGAAGACTTTTGACGTTAGACTGTTTCTCGTTAGAGCGGTAAGCAATGAGTGTTGCTGGAGGGACTTTGAAGCTTCGGTACAGGGTTGTATACCGTTTACGCCGGAGACCTATACCAAGACGGACAGCTGGAACCAAACGGATGACTCTCAGCCGACAACCGACGCTGTCAATGCAGCCCTGTACCGACATCGTTTAGACTCTAAACGATGTCGGTACAGGGCTGCACTAAACTTTAGACTCGCCTCGGGGACGCCCTACAGTGCAGGGCGATATATCGAGGCGAGTCTAAAGATTTTACGCGACCTCTATCTGCATAGGAGCTAGTCAGGTTAAGCCTTGCATGTGGTGCGTTGCACAGCGCAGTCGCGAGGGGGTGGACATGCAGGGGTGTGGTCGGCAACCGGGCGGGTGTGATGGAGGTGATGCACTGGGTTGATCGACGGTGCGGGCGTGTCACCCGTTGAACGGGCAAGACGCGCCTGATGCAGGCCCCCCAGACCACGGCAACTGTACGGTTCGCGGACAGGAACGAGAGGGGTTACACAAGGCGGAGGCAAAGCCGAGTATCGTACGAAGGGTACAGGACAGCGCCGTATGTGCTGTATCGAGTCTTGTTTCGGTGGCTTTCACCGTTGTTCTGCTGGGCGGTAATCGGCGGGGAGGCAGGCGCGGGGAGGGGGCGGAGGTGTGGAATGTGAAAATGGCATTGGTGGAAGGTGTGTGCGATCGCGGAGTCGTCAACGAAGTTACATGATTTGGAGGCGGGGGGGGTGGGGAGGGGACTTACATTAGCGGGGGCACTTCGTAAAGATCAAGCAAAAAGTCTTCAAGGCATGTTGCTGCGCTGCAAATCCCATACGCAGCGTCCCTTCGGCGAGACACAGCGGTGAGCCCGTGGGCGTTGTTGCGACCGTGTCATACCATGGGGCCCACTTTGACAAGCAAGAAGACTGAAAAAGATGTTTTTCGGATTTATTCTGGGGGGCTACCGGCCATACCGCATGATTTCTCGTTAAGGAACAACGTCGCCAACCTTGCTTTCGTAACCAACCTTCTTTACCTAACCTCGCATCCCACCCCCTTTCTTTCCCCTTTCTTCCCAGGGTACACCACCAACAGTAAACTATACCTGCAAGATGCGGTGTCTGCCGCCCCTGCGCCGCGCCCCGACCGCCCAAGCGCTCGCCCAAGCGCTCGCCCGTTATTGGACGGCCGCGAACTCCCCGCCCTGTCGCCATCAACCCCCTTATTCAGCGTGGTAAGCCGGTCCAGCGCCTCATTCCGGCGGTCTCCCGCTCACCAAGTCTACACGTATGTTTGGCTTTTTTAATTCGCGGCATACAGTGTCGCGCGCGCCAGGCGCCGTCCCCGAAAAAAGGGTTTTGGCGACAGCGGGAAAGCGCAAGCGGCGCTCTCGTGGCCCGGCTTCGGCGAATGAATCTTCGCGTGCGACGGGGGCCACGCAACAGCAAATCCGGCGTCTGCAAATTAGGGCAGCCAATCGCGCGTGGCCCCTGATCTCCTGTCCTGCTCGTGTGGCTGTTCGTTCTTCCGGTGCGCTGCCGCCGGAAGCGCCTCCCTTCCGACACGTGTGCGATGCCAAAACCCCACCCTTCCCGCGCTTGCCCCACGTGCGGCACCCGTCCCCAATTGGCGCTTCGCCCCGGGGCGGCCCAGACGCGTGGCCACGTGTGTGAGCGAAAATATCGCTAAAGTGACCTTCTTGGTCAACCCCCTTGTATCTCCCGCGTCAGAGCCCTGCGTATCTCAAGGACTCACAGCCGCATCTCATCGCCTCAACGGGCCTCGTTCCGCCTTTGAGCTCCGCCCCCCTTGTCGCCCATCGTCTCCCCATCACATCTCTCGCCGCAAACCCCCCACCCACTTTATCCACACCCCCGCTTAATCCCTACCACCATA